AGACACAGACAGACAGACAGATCGATGGATGTCGGGCTGACAAATAAAAATCATCCTCAAACACACAAAAACACGCAGGACTGTTGGGCTGCCACTCCATATGAAGGCTAAAATAATGGCACTGACCCACGGCTCCAAACAAAGGTGCTTCCTTCATGACTTCCTACAGCAGAGGAAACGAGGGAGCGTCCTTCATGAAAGGAGCCAAGGATGGAAAAGATCCTTGGATCACCTCCTGTCTGCAGCTGTTAGAAAACCTGACTTTTAAAACTAAAGTTCACGGTGAGTTCAAGGTCCCCGTTACTTCTGCCTGCAGTGAAACTGAATGGAGGCGGAGCTACAGTGCAGCAGGAGGAAGTGTGACAAACTTCAGATGTAGCCTTGTCGTCTGTACTCTATATAGAGAGATGACAATAAAGTTTACTTTGAGGCAATTTAGTCACTTCCTGTGAAATCCCAGCCTCAGTGACATCACCGCCCTGCCTCTCTGTCATGTGACCTCCTGTCGCATCATCTTCAGGACGCAGTTGGTTCCAGATATCAGAACTAATCCTGTCACCAGCGAGACCAGAGCCGGTCCAGATGCTCCGAGACAAGGAGGAGGGATGTGGCTCAGTGTCAGCATCTCTGACGTGTCTACATCAGGTCTCCTGGTCACCTGAACCCATTAAGTTCAACTTTGCAACAAGACACACCTGCGTGCACCTGCCTCCATCACCTCCGCCTCCATCACCTCCGCCAGACACTCACAGTGCAACACGTACAGGTATTAAACGACCGTTAGGTTCACACGCTCACCCCCTGAGGATGAAACACCTGAGCGCCTGCGTACTCACGCCCCGAACCTGCAGCCTGAGCCCCGCAGTCACGTGACCCCTAACCCGTCAGCACACCCAACGTAAACACAGGCGCGAGCGTCTCCCGCGGCTACCAGCGGGGGCGCGCACGCGGAATCGTCTCACCTGTAGTTGTATGACGGGAACTTCGCGCTCTCTCGGAGCATCGTCCTGTACAGAGACATCACCTGCGATCGTGCAGCCGCCGCCATGCTGTCTGCGACTGCGCAGATCCTTCCGCGACGCTCTGAGCTGAAGGACCCGGGCACGAGGCTGACCGAGGAGCGCCTGCGCAGAAATACGAGACGCCGGCGGATTGTTTTCCGCTTCCGCTTTATCGGTGTGACCCCACGTGACACTCTAAGCTGTGAGTGTCACAAAGAGCCTCGCGCTCACAGGAAGTTTAATTTACTCTGACCTGAACTCGCAGTGATCACGCAGGCGCGCTCCCGACGCCTTCACAGCATCCGGCGCTGGAGTGACAGGAGGTGAGTTCGCGGTGCTCCTCTAACCTTTCATAACGCACGTGAGCCTTTAAATCCACGTTCATGAATGGACCACAAGCTGGTCCACGAGCCCCACTGTGGGACAGCAGCATACCGGCCCACGCAGCGCGGAACTTCCACGCTCAGAGGGCTTTTTACGGGTCAGCATGGCAGCTGCTCACCTGACAGCTGGGGACTCTGTGTGTGTGTGTGTGTGTGTGGGGGGGGGTTGGCGGCACAAACAGGGGCGTGCACGTGGCGTGTGACCTTCCTGTGGGGTTATCTAAACCCTCCATCAGGTCTGACGTCACACACCTGTAGCTGACACGCTGCTCTGTGGTGCTAACTTCTTCCTCTGACCTTTGACTACTCTGACGTCATTAACCAAGAGTGACCTCCTGTCAGTCACCTGGTCTGTTACCATGGTAACTGACTCAGAGTTTCAGCTAAACCTGCTCCGTGGACAGAGAGGCAAGATTATATTTCATTAAAACAAAAACAAATGTTTTCCATGTCCAGCCTACAGGCCTGTTAGTCAGACTGTACCTGAGGGCAGGCGTGTGCGCAGGTGGTGCTGTCGGTGTGTTGTCCTACTGCCAGGCCTGGTGGTGTAAACCTGTAGTGATGGGAAGGTTGCTCCTGGGATGCAGACTTCCTGCTTCCACACGCTGTAGCCGAGGTGCCGACGACGCTCTCGGCTGTACGTCTGTAGATGTTTGCTGAGGGTTTCGGTCGTCGTGCCAGATGTCGTCAGCTGTCTTGGAAAGTAAAATGTTTAAAAGTGCAGCCTTTGATGGGATTCCTTCAGAAGCTGCTGGATGTCGAAGAAAAGCTCACTGATGTTTGTCCCGGGGAATTTAGGGCTCAGCAGAACACGGAGGGTGGAAACCTTTATGTCCTCGGGACATCTGAGGAAAGAGCCTGTGTGGCTGCTCGGAGCAGAAAGAGGGATGCAGTGAAAAAGCAAAACAAAACTGGTTTGAGTGGTCTGAAAAGTCTCATTATGTACCAAGTAAATACACTTTCTGCTTAGTCTGTTTCTGTGTTTGCATGAAGTCCACTGGGTAGATTCATCCAGCCTGGTCCATCTGTGTCTTCTTGTCTTTGGCTTTTAATTTGTTCACTGCTGAATATTTACAGCAGACATTAATAAGTTATAAAGAAAGTAGACGTCTCCTTCCACGTGTCCAGTAGACGTTTCTGTTTTTGACACCTCTGGAATATTCATCATCCGTCTGGATGTGGATGCATGTCAATATTTCAATAAACGTTTTTCACATAATTGATCAAATATAGGAAACGCCCCATCCATATACAAATATTTGATTTTGCACATGTTTACCAGGTGTGAACGACTTGTCACCCCAGCCGTGTAATTCCACCTGAGGTTGGGAAACTTAACTCCTCCCCTCTCATAAGGCAGGTAAAGTAACGTTCCTGTTATTCCAAATAAGCAGCTCGTTTCTCATCACAGAACAAAGCTGGTTCTGGTGGTGAAATGTCTGGAAGTAGCATAAACATTTAGATAAGATCATCGATTTTATAATGTTTATTCGTCCAATCAGAGATGAAGGTCAATTTGACCGCCGGTTTAATGTTTCCATGATGTTTAACAGGAGATCTTAAAAAAGTACTTAATTTCTGGAGAATTTTGATGCCTACGTTCATGATGGGTCCAGTTGGAGTTATTAATTTTAAAAACTCTCCAATATCTACAGGTGACCTCACCGGACTGGGAATCATTTAGTTATGTCTGTCCTGAAGAATAATATCTGCAAACAAAGCAATAAGGAGGTGTCTCCCTCACTGCTGTGGCCACAGGCTCTGCTGCAGTGATGGAGCACAGCTCTGACTCATCGCTGTGAATCAAGAGCTTCTGAGATGTTGTCGTTAGTTGGGATTTGTGTGTAGTAGTTGGATCCATCTGAGGAATGTTTGAGCTGATCCGAACCTCAGAAGCAGTTTCGATTGTGAGTGCTGGATATGTATTTAGAGCTCGCACTGCTGTGTTTTTCATTTAACATGTTTGGAAGTCTCCTGACATTATGACAGCCCTTAAACCTCTGCTGGTCTACAGAGAGCCTCATCTTTGTGCAGGAGCTGCCCTCGGTCAGGCTTTGCTGTGGTTTTAGGGTCATTGTAGATAATCTCAGAGTTCCAGTTTCTATCATTCTTCACACACGTCGAACTTCTCTTTAAATGCTTGCTGACTGCAGCATGGTCACCAATCACAGCCACATTTTTACTCGGGGTTGTAACTTCATCGATATTTAACAATCAACATGTCTGCTTGTGTCATTTGCTGTCAGTCTGGGTGGATGTGTCCACTGCTGGCTGAAGGGTGGAGTTAGTCCCTCCTGTAATGGTGTAAATGTATTTTCTGTGATAGGATGTTACCTTTGATGAGCTTTGCAGTTTGATTTGTCTTGGTTTAAGGACGGCCCCCTGCAGCCTGACTGTGACAGGAAGTGTGAAATAGCCGGCCTGTTGTCACCCGTGTTACGTGTGATGTGGTCACGTGTGTTTCTTTATCTGTCGTAGGCTTGAAGTCGTCCCAGCGCGTCACGTTGACACTCAAACGTCACAGCAGAGAGCTGCATGTGATAAACTACTAGATCACAGGGAAACCTCAGCTGCACTTGTAGTTTTCAGAAACTTGATCATTATGTTTGCATAAACAGGAGCTAACGTTCATGAGAGGCGTGATGTCACTTCCTGCAGAACGACCTCCGTTTGTATTTTGGATCTTTTCTTCTTTGTCTGATGGATTTTCTGTTGGTTCTTCTTCTCCCGATCGTCTGACGCGCTGAGACGAGGCTGAGCGTTAAAGTTTACACACAGTTTTATTGAAAGTGGTTTGTAATTCGTCCTGTGCGTGTCGGGACAGTTTCTGGACCATGTTGGAGACGATGTTCTGAATTTTTACTTTATTGCTTAAACTGTGAAGTCCGAGATTACTGGAAACTGAAAAAATGATAGTTTTTAAAACAAGAAATGGTCACGAAGGATTAAAAATATCCACGAGGTGTTTGAATATTTAAATATGGCGTCCCAGCACCGCCTCAGACCGGCTCTGATCTCTGTTTGTTTCTTTGGCTTCATCTGCTTCTCCGTCAGGAACGCCGACATCACCTCTTAGCAGGAGGATGTTTAGCCTCCTTCTTCCAGCTGTTCTCCTTCACTACATCCATGACCCTCCCTCCTCTGCGCATGTCCAAACATCCGTCCCTCTGATGGACTCATTCCATCTCCCAGTGAACATGTGAGCGTCTTCAGCTCGGCCTCCTGTCCTGTGTGACTCCGATGAATTTGAGTGTGCTCCTAAAGGAGCCGTGATCATTAACACCAGCAGTCGGTGTTACAGCTCACTGATATCAGCTGAGCCTCTCTCAGGCTTCCCTAACAAAGCCGTCAGACGGAGTTCCTCACAGGTGAAGTCTGTGGACGGTGACGAGGCGTTCGCTGTCTTCTCTGCTGCTCGGTTTGCTGAGTTCAGACTGGTTTAGCCCTCACAGTGTCTCTGCGTGATTAGAGACGGCAGGAAGTGAACAGAGAGGATAAATGTGACTGTTTTTAAATATTCTGCAGATGCTGTGAACTCGTCGTGTAGTCAAAGCACAGCTTCAAAGGTTCACTCGCAGCTGCCGACACAGCCTTCAAACGTCTCCTGCAGGACAGCGGACGCAGAGACGTTCACGGGGACGGTATCGTCAGAGGTGACGTCATTTACAAACGACAGACACGGCAGGTCGTCATGGCGCGCTGCTCGCAGACCACCTCAGCCCTTAATGCAGACTAGCTGCTGCAGAGTCAGGCTGTGTGAGCGGAGCTGAGGGTGGTGCAAACGTGACGTAGTCGTCGTTTATGGTCAAGAAGAAAAACTTTAGCTGTCCATCACATCTGATGTAACCGTCAACGCCACCACTCCCACCCTCACTGCCTGACTCACATCACTGAGCGCGCTCACAAAGATGGACGTGTGCATGTGCGTGTGTGCGTGTGTGTGTGTGTGCGTGTGTGTGTGTGTGCGTGTGTGTGTGTGTGTGCGTGTGTGTGTGTGTGTGTGCGTGTGTGTGTGTGTGCGTGTGCGTGTGTACAGTATGATCTTTAGCAGTGGATGTGTGAAAGGTCACAGACTCATCCTGTTTGTTGATGCCCTGCTGTCTTTGAGTGTAAAGGTCAATGACACTGCTGTGTGTGTGTGTGTGTGTGTGTGTGTGTGTGTGTGTGTTCATGCTGATGTGTTAGTTTGTGTGTTTGTTACAAAAAGAAACAGCTGACGATATCGTTGGTTGTCATCTCTGTATTTTTAGTCCGCTGTGTGCACACGTGGGTGTCTGTGTGTGCGCGTCCTGTACGGTGGTCTTTTGGAGCGAGCTGATTGGCCCCTGACTGCACGTTGTGGTGTTTTGGGCAGAACGTGACGCGTCGACCTGGAGCAGCTC